TAAAAAAAAAAAAAAAAAAAAAAAAAATGTCGTACTTTATATTTTATTTAATTTTTTTTTTTTTTTTTTTTTATATTCTGTTTTTTAATAAATTAACTTAAATTCTTCTCCTTTAGTAGTATATTTCCTCGAATTATTCCTTTAGGTGAGTTATATATATTTAATAATTCTCTTGGTTTTTTTATAATTTTTGTTATTTTTCCAATTATTCTATTTGAAACATTTTGTGATATAAATAGTTGTGAATTCGTATAAAATATTTGTCTTAATGTTGTATATGTATTTTCATTTAGGTTTCTTAATATGATTTCAATTGTATAAATTAATCTAGTTATTTCTATAATTCTACTCTTTGATAAAAATTTTTTTTTTTTTTCGTCTAATAACTTAAAAATGAAATCAAAAACATAATTTTCCAATAAGTTAATACTATCCAAATTATGCATTTTTTATAAAGTGATGGTAAAATTAAACAAAATTGTGAATCACATATATTTTTAATAATAAAGAACTTTAAAATAAATTACTAATTGGTAAATAAAAAAAGAAGAAATTGTTGTTAGTAATTTTATATTTTCTAATATTATAAATATTTCATTTTAATTAATTCAAATTATTCTATTCTTATTTTTTATTTTGCTACTATTATGATATTTAGTAATTATTTTTTTTAACTCATATAAGTTAAAAATTAAATCATTTTTTTATATATTTGTTCAATTATATTAGAACAAAATAAGATATATATATATATATATTTTTTTTTTTTTTTTTTTTTTTTTTTTTGCATTAAGTACATAAAAAAAAAAAAAATTTTTTTTTTATATCATTTATATATTTATTATTCAACTGTTTTTATAAAAGGATTCTATTAATTAGGTTTTTATTATATATAGAAAGCTAAACATCCTGTATTTAAAATAAAATCAAAAAAATAACAAAAAGATTAAAATAATTTATAAGAAATTTATTATGATTAATAATCCCATTTTATAATATCTTTAAATTAAGTTACAATTATTTAAAAAATTCAAGTCACATATTTATGTTTTCAATGAAAGATGATTGACAACCATTTCAATACAAATGAATTCTTAAAAAAAAAAAAAAACATATGTATTTTATAAAATTTTTTTTTTTTTTTTTTTTTTTTTTTTTTGCATTAAGTACATAAAAAAAAAAAAAATTTTTTTTTTATATCATTTATATATTTATTATTCAACTGTTTTTATAAAAGGATTCT